TTTTTTTTTTTTTTAATTCCACCTGCTCTCTTCTCGCAATCCATACCTCTTTCTTCCTTTCTTTACAACTTACCAGCGGAGGACAAACGGGGGCAGGCCATGCATCTCCTGCTCCTGCTGGCGCCTCTCCAGTGCCTCAACGGGGTAGCGGCGCTGCGTGTCACGCCATTCGTCCACGGCTTCCACCAATTCACGGTGCTCCAGTTCCTCGGTGTTCTCGCGATTACGGTAGCGCAGTAGGAGAGAGCAAAATTCAACATCACTCCTGTTCCATGCAGTGGTATTTCCACTCGTGTTGTTGCTGCTGCTGCTGCCGCTGACTCTGCCACGCCACACGGGGATCGTCGTACAGGCTGGCGGTGGTGATGGGGACTGTGTGGTGCCCGCATTTGCCGCAACGACGGCGAGTCCGTCGCGCTGTTGCTGCTGGAGCTGCGTTGCACTGCTCAAGACAGTGCTGAAGACGCTCCTCTCTGGTGTGCAGAAGAGCGTATTTTCTGTGGGCATCTGTGGTGCCGTGGGAAAAATGGGCTGCTCCACGTAGCCATCGTTTCTCTCAGCGCGGTAGTGTTCAGAAAAATGACAGAGACACGCACAACGCTGTCGCCCCATGTCTGCAGCGACGTCACGCCGGTAAATGAACTCTCCCTCCGCAGTAACTCCCATAACCTCGTCGTCATCGTGGTGAGAAAGCACATCCACCAACTCGTCCTCCACCACATCCCCAGCATCGTCTTGACCCTCTGTTGTGTGACCAGCCGCAGTAGCTGCGGAGACACCGCGGCCACAAATGCTGCTGTCACCAAAGCCGGTGTCAGCATTTTGAGGTACATGTAACAAAGGATGACGACTAAATACCGAGGCTTGTGGCATATTAATGATTTCTTCTCTAGGCTGCCACTCCTGTCGCTCTTCTGTCTGCTCAGAGAGCCAGTAGCAGCTTTTGTAACAGTTATTGCCCATGTTAAAACCCGACGGCAACACGGCTGATGTTGATGCCGTCCTAGCGTCGTCCTCCTCATCGTTGTCGTTGTCGTCATCCCTTGACACAAATGAACCCGGTGAGTACTGCGTGGACGCCGTGTAACTTTTTGTGTTTCTAAAGAAGCACCCCCGAGATCCACCACATGAGATCGACTGGTCGGAGGAGGGCGCATCATCATCGTAACCAAGTGATAAGCTGTTCCTCGGCGACGAGGCTGCCACTGTCGTCCGCGACGACGATGGCAGCAGCACCTTGACACTGTCATCAGCATTGGCTGTGTTATCACCCTGGGCTAATGCAGCCTGGAGACGTGTCACCGCAGGGTCCTGGCGTCGCCCCGGCGCAAGAAGCGCAATCGGTGGCGGCAGGAATAGGCCACTGCCTGTAGCACGTGGGGTGCGCAACTCGAACACAGACAGCAACGGAATGTGACCTACGTGCCGGCCATTGCTACGGGTGCTGTTTCTATTGCTGCTGCTGCTGCTGCTGTCAGACGGGTGCGGAGTGGCAACACTGCACGACTGCTGCGATGTGATCTGGTCCGCAGTGGTAGTAATTGCCTTCATTCGTTGTTTTTAAATGTTTTCGTTTCTCAGAGATATGGTCCGGAAAACACTAGATAGGGGTAAAGCTAAAAAAAAAATAATAATAATAGAAATGCTGTAAAGAAGCAGCACGCACGCTTGAAAGTCTTTTCTCCTAAACTAATCTCTGTGCTTTGTTTGATTCCTTCTTCTTTCTCGACGTCAGAGATTTAACCTCCAGGTTGCAGACTGCAGAATGAAGAGCCAGGAGCGATAAATTCTAGGAGTATCGAATGTAAGTGGCTGTGTGGGTGTTTACTAAACCCTTGTGTCCTTTGCTTTCCCACCACTCCCACAATCTTTGCCTTGTTCGTTTGTTTGTTTTCGATCTCGCTCGGTTTGGCGGGGTCCTTTGTGCTTCGTCTCGTTTCCCTGCCTTGTTTCTGCCCTTTTCGTTTCTCTATGTACGCCTCGTCCCTTCTGTTTTCTGCTTGGGTGATTCTCTTCTGATTTCCCTGGCTCCTGGCTGTTTGTGCTTCTCTGCCTCCTGCGCCTGCTGAAAAGTTTGGATGCGTGCTATGTGCCTGACAGACGGAGCAAAGACAAGCAAGGGGAGCAGTGTGTGTGTGTGTGTGTGTGTGTGTGAGAGAGTCTGGCAACGCACATTGGCATTCGGGCGCAAATGCAGAATGACACACCTGCAGGCTGCAGACAACATCAAAGCAGTAGCAGCAACGTCACAGAAAAGCAACAAAATGAAAAAAAACAAAAACTTGTGTATCAACCGCATCAAGTATACAATGTGGGCCGCAAGATGAAAAGTGATGAATTACCAAATAACAATAAGGGGGGCGGGGGGCGGGGAAAGCTAGTATACACCACCACCACCACCAAAACCCAACTGTTCCTATCCCCCAAGCACCAGCAATTCTGCCGTCTTCACATCAAAGTCATAACTGATAGCCGATGCACCAGCTCCTACTCCCTCTGATGTTGCTGTGTCTGCTGACCGTGATACGTTCGATGTCAATGATGCGCTCCAAAGTGTCAGTGGGGGTGATGCAAATGTAGCGCACGCTGCTGTAGAGCCATGCATCACTGAGTCAAGAAGAAAGATGCTACACCCTCCTCCCCCGCCAATGGCCAGCGAGTGTGAGGAGCAGTTTATGAAGTGCTGATTAGCTCGTGTGGCGCGATACGTTTTCAGCTGCGGTGAACCCGATGATGCAGGAAGAAGAAGCTGATAAACAAAGGTTTCACTGGTACCGTAGAACCGTCGCGTGCCCAAATGCAATGCATCAGACAAATACGCTCCGATCACAATTCGTTCCTCTTTCTCTCTCTTATCATCTACGGTAGACGCTCTCTCCGTTGGGCTAACCAGCTCCAGAACAAGAAGCATCGGCGACGACCGGCCACACTTCTTGGCAGCATCCGCCGCGCGTTGGCTGGACCCAATCATGGCAGAGTAGCTGAGCCCGTGGAAACGGGTGCTGTAAATGAGACGCCACGGTAAGAACTGACATGCGACCGGCAGCTGCTCATGAAGAAGCTGACGAGCCGCAGGTGTGAGGACACTAATACCTTGCGTGCTGCTGCTGCTGCTGCTGCTGGGTGGCGCACCATCCCCACCACCAGCAGAAGACTGCCCCACTATTTCCTGCTGGCGTTCCAGTTCCTCTACAAGCTGCCGTGTGGCCCACAGTGCCTCCGGCGAGCTCGAGCTAAAGGCGGAGAAGTCAAAGTCGAGGGATGGCACGTACGCCGAGGATGGCAACTCACACACATCTGCTGGCTCGCTGTCACCGCCCACAGTTCTGCTTCCATCATCACCAGGAGATTCCCCCGCCAGGGTGTCACCGCCGGTGGCCTGTGCAGATCCTGAGCCGCGATGCGCGCCATACACAGCTGTCACAGAACTACCTTTGCGGGCGCGGGCATCATCACAGGACTGGAGTCCTTCCACCAACGCTTCCAACAGACTGGCGGTGCAGGCCCGACTGGCACTCTGGTCCCGCTTGCAGCGCCACGCTGTCAACCATTCGTGCTCCACACGACGACTAAGCTCACTCACCAAGGTGTCAACGGCTTTGTTGAGCTCAGGAATAACGTATTGCAAAAGTTCACCTGAACTTTCGCCCTCGTGTTGGTGACGCAACGGAACAAGCGCTTGGATATCGCTGTATCGGCACGCAATGACCAACAGCCGCAGCGAAACCTCATTGGATTTGTCGCCGTGACCGCAGCTTACTGTTTCCCCCGATAAAAGTGAGACACCGCTCTCCTGTTGTGAGGGAAACCAAAGTGTTGCCTGCGCAGACCCCGCTGCAGAACTTTTAGGTGTCTTGTACTGGTGTGCCAACAATGAGCCTAGAAAGCACTGCTGCTCCTGCTGTTTTTTTCGTTGTTTGTCTGCTTCAGTTAACCTAGAAACATCAGTACCTTTCACTCCCCATACACTACCCACACCTTTAGTGAAGAGATCCGAGGTGCCCTGCACGCTGCTCGGAAAGGCCACGGACCGTATCGTCCAATTGTTCGTTGCAGTCTCTTGCGATGTCAAGTGCTCGTCACCTCCCTGTTCCCCAATTGACAAGGCACTTTTAAAGAAGTCGCTGCTTCGAAAACCCGACACAAAGGCTTGCGTCATGCCGAAGACTTGTACTGTGAGCCAGGTGGGTCCCAACGGCCTAGTGTTGTTTTCACCAGGTACCGTGTTGTTCCCGTCATTGTCGTCGTTTTCATCATCATACCTCACGTGCCACGAAAGTGGAACTCCCTTCTGCTCAAGCTCATCAATACCTGACAATGCATTGCCGCTGAGAAATGAAATAAGCTCATCGCTGGCGTGCCGTACCGCCGCATCGACCGTCATTGGTGCAGATTCTGGCAGTGATAGTGACAATGACGGCGGCAGCGTGGAGTGAAGGAACTGTACCGCGCGTCTAGAAAGATAGTGCTCGATGAGAATTAACACAACAGCCAACACATCTGCCGTTGCGTCTTCACCTCTCTGAGCCACGTGGCCGTCATGCACCATACGACGGCGCTGCCACTTCAGGGCATTGTCTAGGTGCAAGAGAAGGTAAAGCACGTCTTCAGGTGTGGCACTGTGGAGCAGTAGAGCACACAAATCACGGAGGCAAGCCACGCGGCGCAAGAGATGGCGAAGCCGCGATGGCCTTTGAGTTTCACTATGCGATATCTCTGATTTAGTAAACTCCTCCTCCTGTGTTGCCTTACTGTCACACTGGCTGCCGTGTTGAACGATGTACTGCCACGCCAGCGGACCACACATCGTACTCGTTCCATCCCCTTCATCTTCGGCGGCGGCGGCGGCAATGGGACGCAAGCGCTCCACATCAACAGCGCACAGCCACCGGTATGCCACTCCCACGTGACCGTTCCGCCATAAGCAAAAGGCCGTATTCCACAGAAGCGACACAAAGACGACTGAGATCCAATAAGAGGGCATGACTTTGCCGCATTCCAGCATGAATCGCTGCGGCAACACTTCGGGAGACAGTTTCGATAAGGTACAGGTGAGCCACTCCTCTGTTTCTCCGCCTATCAGCTCTCCTTCATTGACAACTTGTTCCGCAGACAGCCTCTTATCCTTTTCGAGACGCAGCGAGAGGACTGTTGCCACGAGTTCTTCCACAGCGTGACATTTCATCGCAAACAACTTCAACACAAGCGCAAAATCGTACGCCGCAACAATGTTTTGCTTGTAGGTGGAAGCCGCAAAAGCGGCATTTACACACAAGTTCATCAGCTGCAAATCTGTAAACTTATCGGCAATCGATTTTGAATTCTTTGCCGCAGAAGTGCCCTCCTCAGAGGCATCTGGTACGGTTTCTTTTCCCTTTGTTCGCTCCGCCGCATCCCCATGAGATCCGAGGATGGCGCCCAACATTGCGCTCCAGCGTCCTTCCCTGGTCTGACTGCTTGGGATCCCATCTAGCATTATGTCGTCCTCTCCCTTTGCAGAGAGAAGTAATACCTTTTGCAACGCAAGAGCACGGTAAAGATAATGATCGTTGCGTTCTTGCAGCTCTGCACTGATTTCATTGGTGCTTCCTAGAATACGCTCGAGGGATGCCACAGACACAGGGTCCATAGTCAATGCCTCTGATTCATGTTGGATTCGCTCCCTGAGGCAATGGAGGCAGCCCAGAACTCGCCGCTTCAAGTTCTGTACCTGCGCAGCGACAACATTGCCGTTAGACAGAAGAAACATAACATGGGAAAAACGCTTATGATCGCTTGAGTCACATTCAGCCAAGTGAGAGAGCGCGACCGTCAGTTCCGCTTCAGCGGCCTCCAGGCTTTTCCACAATTGAAGCGCAGTGACACCGTCATCCGAGTGACATCTGGGGCTGTTCAAAACGGGGGCAGCCGTGTTCATTACGGTTTGGCAGCGCTCAATGCATCCCTCCAAGTGAGCCACACGATGCATGACTTCAGCGTTCTCTTCAGCCGCTGCATCTGACGGCCACAGCGACCTTAAAAACGGCGAGAGTGTTCTCTCCTGCGCGGGATGCGTCACGACGCGTTCGCACATACAATCCTTGTGCAATAAGCGAGCGGCTTCTCAGATGTTTTCAATTTAGTAGTATGCAGGGAAAAAAGAAGAAAAAAAAAGACAAGCAGTTAGAGGGCACACGAACACAGCACACCTGGCAGAGTATGAATTGAAACAGCAATTCTCCCAACACCAAAGCACAGAATCATTATAAAAAGAAACGAAAGAAAGAAGGAAAGCACACAGTTCACACCGTGGGACCCATTGCAGCACAGTCTGACTCCGACAGATACCTAGTCAAAGAGACCGAAGCCCATATCGTCGTCCTCCTCCTCTTCCTTCTCCTCCTGCTTCTTTCCGGCAGCAGGAGCAGCGGCAGCGCCACCCGCAGCGGGAGCAGCGGCACCAGCGGGGGCGGCACCACCCTGCGGGGCCGTTGTCAGGGCCGCGGCGAGGAGGCTCTCAAGCGGCTTCTTCTCCAAGAAGCGGGCGAAGAGGATGGGGAGGGTGTTGCGCACCGACAGACCGGCAGCATTGCATGCCGCCTCGATGTTCTCCGCCGTGACGGGGACACCCGCATCGCTCAGCATGAGGCAGGAGTACACACATGCCAGAGTGTCGTTCGTGTCGATCGCGCAGGCCATGACTCTTCACGGCAAACCTGCCTCACAGAAGCAGTCAGACAGGAAGAAAGAAAGAAAGAAAGATCAAGACGCGAGGGACGTATGACATAATTAACCCAAAAAAATCATGATCCAGCAGCAGGCAAATCTGGAGCTTGCAGTACATACCTCCGTACTCATCGCATCTCACACCACACAGCAAATGAAACAAAAGGCACGCCTCGACACACTCGGACACGTACGAGATCGAAGCAATGAGGATGAATCCCTCAGAAGCTACGAATCGCAGAGGAAAGTGCAGAGGCAACAAACGAAGATAAGAGACGAAAGAAGATACCGCGACAAAACGGAGGAAAAATACGCTCTGTGTTGCGGAAAGAGAAAAATAAAAAATAAAAATCAAGGGAAACCAGGAAATGGAAGGGCCAACCTTCCAATAACACAGAAACAAAACAATTAACGGACGAAAAGATCTCACTTCATGTGCGAGTATAGCAGTGTAACTCTGCTTTTGATGCGCTCTTCTCTTTTCTCTTCTCCTCTGTTCTCTCTGCGTGTATAACCGAAGATGGGCAAGGCTGATCTGTCGCCGTGACAAGAAGAAGAATCATCCTTGAACACACGAAACAGGTTCACAGAGGCAAATAATCATCTGCCTGCTTATCTCATAACGGTGATCACGCCCCCCGTAGTCAATCAAAAAAAGAAAAACACATAAAAGCTACACATCTGTCCTTTACTCTGATTCTGTGCGGCCCATCGGGCCAAGCGACTCGCAGTCAGCCTGTGGAGGCGCCGTGCTATCTGTCTTCAATCCGCATGTATGCTTATCGCCTGGCAACACTGCCGCCGCTGCAGCTACTGCTGGGAGAGGTGCCTGTCGCATCATCATCACTGGACTCGCTACACTCCATGTGCCACTCCCAAGTGAAGATGTCTGGTCGGGTGTAACACGGCGATACACAAAGCTTCGGCCAGCACGGACCTTGACCCGCCAAAGAGAACATCGAAACATCTTTCGCTCCTTCTTGCTCACGGCACCGCTTGGTGCCAAGAATAGCAACTGCAGCATCACCAGGCTCGCTTTGCCCCACAAACACGTCCTTTTCAAGTAAGCGGAGCACTGGGCGAATTTTGCGAATGACGTGGCGGAGGGTTTGCAGCGAATGAGCAGGCATTTCAACGGCAGCAGTGGCGGCGGCTGCGGTGGCGACGTCGTTGACTGCTGTGGCGTCCAACACAACCGGTAGCTGATGGGCAAGAGTTGTCTCTGCCGCCACGGCGGTAGACCGAAAGGGGCCCACAGAGCGGCGGCTGCATGATGTGTTTGTTGTCCGGTCATCATCGGAAACAAGGAGACCGCCTGCTGCCAAACCGTGGCGCAGCTGCCGCCAGGGATTCACTCGTGAGCTGCTCTCATGATAGCCCACATGACGAGCTGCCCCGCACCGATCACGCAACTTGCGAAGGAGTGTGGAGGCCACTGAGAAATACGAGAAACTGCAGGCAGCCAGAAGGAACGGCAGCCGCTCTTCATCATCTCGCCCCCGCAGATGCTGGATCCGCTGTTCCTGCTTTGAGGCAGCAAGGCGTAGGAGTTGTCCAAAAAATGTCCGCGCCACGGCCTGCGAGTACCCTGTGGGGCGGAAAGTCAGCCAACACACCAGCACAAAGAAACAACGCACCAAAGCATGACTCAGCCGCGGAGGCGACCGCATAACTTTCTCGTCATACTCTTCTTCTTCCATCAAGGTGCGCGAGCACAGACCCATCTCCTTTACGGCGCGCTCGAGAACACTTGTTACCTCACGGTCAAGTAAAAGTTCTGTGAAAAGTGCTGGAGCAGAAAGAAGAAAATGTGCCAGCTCGCACTCTTCCTCCCCGTCACTGGCAAAATCGACCGCGCCGGTAACGTGTTGAGTGTAAGTGAGTGTAAAGCACTGCAGTACCCGGACAGCGGCGTAGATCCTTGAAGCGGCGATAGCGCTAGTGCAGCAGTGACTGTTACTACCTTCATGGGCAGAATTCTGTTGCCACCATCCGTACCACTCTGTTGGCACTTGTGTCAATAACATGACAGCGTGCTTACGTCTCTTTGGCAGCCGCAGCGAACAAGAAGAGAAAGAGTTGACTGCGGATGTGGCGTTGGTGGCGAAAAGCGCAGAGGCATCCAGTGTCTCAGCACCGCGTGCTTCAAGGAGTGGCTGCAGCGCAACGAGGATTGCAGACTCCAGCGCCAGCACTAGAGAGGGAAAGAGAGCCTGTGCCAGGTCCAATGCAACATGAAACACAACCTCAACAGCAGAAGGCCACGAAAAGCAGTTACATTGCTGCTGGCAAGACACACGCCAGCTATCATCGCCACTGTAGACCTCGGGGGGCATGTAGCGCTGCAGCCACCTCCGCACTCGTTCCACTTCTGTCGGAGAAAAGAGGCCACTGTCGCACATCAAGTCGTTCTGCGCCGCTGATGTTGCGTCAGCGCTGCACTTCCACCGGGCCCGGTGTCGGCGCAACTGTCCCATTTGAGCCACCACATTAAGGGATGCAATACAAATACCCTCCAGCACTGCCACAGCAGTAGATTCCTCCATCAGCCCTTGAGGCGTTTCGGGTGTTACAGGCACCAAAGAGGAAGAGGATGATGAATTAAATATCCGGTAACGCAAATTTGCCGTGTAAACAAAGGCTGAGAGCCATTCTAGAGACGGCGGTAGAGACATCAACACCTCCCCTTCGTAGTGGGCCACAAGGGCTCCCTCCACCTCTGATGGCAGCCGAAGGCCAAGCACAAATTTAGGCGGCAAATGCATAACATACGACAAAGTGGTTTCAGAATACAAGTCGCCAGGATCCATACTTTTGTGGTACGCGTCATTTCCATCATCATCATTGGTAGCACAGACTTCTTTTCGAGCCAGCGGCATGTTTTGGATAGAGCTCTTCACAAAACAAGAGTCGTAAGCCGCCTCCTCATCCCCATTCGGTGTCTTATCGTTCCAACTCGATGTGCAACAGTGGCCTGACCACGCGGCCCCACCCCGGCTTGATGCATCGGGTGCTTCTTCTCCGCATACCTCCTGTGCATGGTATTTAGATGCGCAACTGGTTGGCAGTGCAGAAGAAGCATTTGCTGATGGTATATCTGCTTGTGAGGGTGGGGAGAGCGAAATAGCCGCTGGAATGTTTAAGACGAATGTCCCGCCCCGCCCATCTCTGGACCCACCTCTCAGCTGCAGGCACACATCACAGTCCGCCAGCACATTGTACTGCATTGCGCCCTCGCGGTGCAACAGCTGTACAGTCTTTTTTGTTGCATTCATTCTCGTCTCCGTGTCATCGTCACACTCCGCATCTCCGACAGTCCTCTTCGTTGCAGACGCAGTGGCATTGGCATAATCGTCTGTGAAAAAGTCGATTTCAATGCTGTCCATTGTCCCCACATGACACTGCTCTTCCCCTTGCTGCATCACATCCTCTTCATTGTATCTGTCTTCACGCCTCACCTGTTGCTCTGGTCGTGCAGCCGCCACTGCCACATGGGAAGAAGAGGAAATCAACGTCTGTGGCATTCGCACCCAACACTTTTTTCTCGTGTAAACGGACCTTGTCACGCCTCTCTAGAGCCTGATACACAGAGAAACACATAAAGGGAAAGAGAAAAGAGGAATTCTCCGAGCTGACTTGATTGTACAGATGCTTGTTAGTGGAAAACCTGTACAAACGAACAAAGCCATACATTTAGAGAGGAATCCGACGAGCAAGATGAAGGAATTGTGCAACCACCACTGAAAACAAAGCGTTCAGTTCAGGCGGTGAATAGAGCTTCTTATTGGCATATATATATATATATGTCTGTGTGTGTTCAAGTCTATACGTATGCATTTGCAAGTCCCTTCTCACACCGAAGTGTCCTTCTCACTTATCCCCGTGATTCTTGCTTCAAGCGATACTGAACAGGTTTGCATTATGGCATTCTCCTTCTGGGAGACTGGATGACGTTTGAATAGCCATCTTTCTGTTGCCTGCAATCCCACGCTTGGAAGGAGATGTTTCAAATAAAACAGGAGAGGGTGTTAAACAGCACTTTTTTTTCATATATGTGTAGAAAGTCAAACTAAGTAGGTACCCCCCGCTTCAACTGAAAACTCAGCCGTTGTGACTCACCCTTTTTCCACATTTCCGCTACCCCCATCCCTCTCAGCATCCCGCTCTTGCCGTGAAAGCAAGCGAGCCTCGTCGCGCTCCCTCATAAGCAGCTCGTACTCCTGCCTTCGCCTATACGGATACACCAGCAACAGTGCGAGGCCGCCTATAAAGCACACAACTGTTGCCCCCACAAACACGTTGAGTGCATCACCCTGGGTCGGGTCGTTGCCGAGCACTTCCCCAAAAACAATCGCCAGAATAAGGTTGGTCAGACACGCCGACCACGTCAGAACCGGTGCACTCGTTGACTCTGCCATTGGGAAGGTAAGCTCAATGACAAACTCAAACATAATCGGCATCATGAAGTTCTGGCACAATCCTGCTATGCCACCCCAAAATAAAAACGCAACAAGGACGTAGTATATCCGGTTTTCATGTACGGGTGGACCGTACGCAAGGCAGAGCGTCAAAACGGACATATTCGCGGTCAAAATCATGCCAATACAGACAAGCACAGCCTTGTATCGGCGCTTCCGTTCGATAAGGGGCATTAAGAACGGCGCAACAACGGTGCCGAGGACGAGGTTCAGGAAGCCGATCCATCCGCTCTCCACTTCAGTCACACCGAAGGGAATAAGACACTGTGGCAAAACAGTGGCGACGGCCCAGATAAGACCAAGTTCCGCTGCACTTGCAATCATAAGAAAGCCAAAAGGGGGGTTCTTGCGCAACATGCGGAGTGCGTCCATAATGGTGGAGAAGACGTTAATAGGCTGCACTTCGTATTCCCCCTCCTCCTCCTCCTCCTCCCCCCCATTCTCCGCTTGATTGTGCACCACCTCTTCCTTGTGTGGTTGTCTTTTCTGACTCTCGCGACGGTGCATCATATCACGGACGGTTTGCAGCCTCTTCTCCTCGCTCCTTTGCTGTCGTGCTGCGGCATAGCTTGCAATATAGCGCGGACGTGCCGGAATAAAGAAGATAGCCAGCAGCAAAACTCCACCACATATGCCAAATTGAAACCAGAACAAGTTGGCGAAGTGACGCTGCTCTTGTTTATCAGGTGTAACGAAGAATGTTGGGAGAAGCACACCGACACCACACCCAAAGTTGAGGGCACTGCTCAAAATAGTGTTAGCGACCATGCGCTCGCGCTCGGGAAACCAGCGATTTGCAATAAGTGGCGGTGTGGCAATGACGAGAACCTCCGTCATGGAGTTAAATACCTGCGCAATGAACAGAAGAATCATGTTTGGCCACGCATATAGTGCCACAATCTTGAGTCCCGCACCAATGGCATTTGCCAGAGCCGCAACAACAATTCCGTTTTTTACTCCAGTCACCTCGTATAGCTTACAGCTGAGAAACACAATAGCAACATACGCAATGACATAGGTTGTGGTGAGGTAGTTCACCTGCACTGCAGTCATGTTAAAATACATGCGCACCTCAACCACAATGGAGGAAAATGTGATCCACTGCATCGCATTGGACATGGATATGATGCAGAATATCAACCCCACCGAGAACCGCCATGGATCCCCGCGAAGTTGTATTGGGGACTCTCCGTCAACAGAAGCACTGCGACGCATGTGCTCGCTGAGGCTGTCGTCAATTGGCCCGGGCTCCATCGCCTCCTCAGAGAATTGACTGCCCACTGCGCCTGCCCGCTCCCGCTCGTTCATGTCGAAACTAAGTACTCCTCCAACAGCAACACTTAGAACTGAATGGGGAAAAGAAACTGGTGGGGCACGCACCTGAAGAACTGCAAGCCAACATCATTAGCAATAACACCTCACAGCCCAAACAGCAGCATGTATGCACGTGGGTGGGGGGGGGGGGGGAT